TAGACGCTGGAGGATGCTCCGACCCCGTCCCCTCAGGGACGAGGTGGATGGGGCCTCTGCCGGTGGCAGGTGTTATCCCAGGAAGCGGAAAGTGTGACCCCAGCCTAGTGGCGCGCGCCCCCTTTCGCTGGGAACAGGGACACATGCAGGTACCCACAGAGACCGAGACTCTGTGCCCCAAACCCCACAGGAGGGCTTCTCGGCGTGATGGATTATAAGCAGCCTTGTTTTCCTTCTTTAGACAAGTCTAAAGTTTAGACGAGTCTTTCAAAGTTTTCACAAAGAACAGAGATTTGAAAACAACCCGCCGGAAAGCTTTCATCCACGTTCCTTTCCGAAGTGCAGGGGGGACTCCGGGAGCTCACAGGCCCCTGCAGGAAACGTCGGCTCGTCCCAGGGCAGGTCCCACATGGCCCTCAGGTCTCAGTGGCCCCTCTGCCTCCACAGGACCAGAAGATCTACATCTACAGCCTCAAGGGCATGTGCCCCTTGAACACGCCCCAGCGGGCTCTGGACACCCCGGCCGTCGTCACCTGCTTCTTGGCGGTGCCTGTTTTAAAAAAGGTGAGGTAACAAGGAAGGTGGGTGCACAGGTGTCTGCTTCTCCCTTCCCGTCTGGGGGCAGGGTATTGAAGCCACGCCCTCCGGGACCACCGAGTCACAACCAGCCTTAGAGGCCCAAGGACCTGAGCCACCACCAGTGGCCTTCTGGTGTGCGAGCACCTACGGGACCAGAAAGGCTAAGGCTAAGTGGCAGCCAGCATTCCCCACGCAGACGCCACAGCCCACTTCTGCTGCAGACCCTGCAGAGGGACAGCTGGGGAGAGAGTGTCGTTCCTCGTCTGACAGCGGCGGCATCAGAGAGGGCCAGCACCTCCCCAGGGCCCGGGCAGGCCCTGCCTGACCCCTGTGGGGCTGCCAGCTCTCCTCCCCGTCTGCGCCCCCACTGGCGCGCTCGCAGCCGGCCCCAGAGTCCTCCAGAGCCGGGTCCTTCTTTGTCCGGTCCAGCCCCGGCTTTTCTCAAACGAAACCCCGAGCGAGGCTCCCCCAGCCCAGGTCCCAGGCAGCTCTGCCACTCCCGGGAGCAGACTGAGGTGCCTCTGCGGGGCCAGTGAGGGACCCCCAGCTGGCGTCACCCAGCACCCACCCTAAGGGGCGCTTCCCACCAGAAACCCCGCATCAGTTCTGAAGATGGAGGCCAAGGGCCCTGGTCTAAGGAGCTGCCCCGCACTCATTCCCGGCCTTCGGAGACGTTCTGTACATTCTCGGCCCCGGTGGCCTCAGGGATCCAGGCCCTGCTCCCCGCTCGGCCGCCCTGAGGCCCCCGCCTGTCACTCCCCGCTCGCAGTACACGCTCGCGGTGTCGTTATCGGTGTTGCTTTGTCGACGTGTATTGGCTGTCAGCGTCGGACTTGTTTTCCCATCTGTAAAATGGGGATGAGAAGCGGTCGTGGAAAGGCCGACACTAGGCAAACGTGAGCGATACTGTCACCTCCGGGGGGTCCCGAACCACAGGCGTTCTTCTCTCTCACACCGTTTCGTTGCTTTAAAAAAAAAAAAAAAGTCTGAAATCAACCTCAGAGTCATTTACGACGGCGGCCGCGTCGGCGAGGCTGGGCAGCTGGGGACCCGGCCTGCGGCAGAGCGCAGGAGACGCGACACAAAGCGTTATTTAAGGCCAGTGCTGGCCAGAGCCCCCACCAAGCCAGGGCACCACCGCTCGCCCGGCCAGAGGGAATGAAGCCGGCTCTGTGCAGAGCCTCCCTGCCGGGTTGGGTGGCAGACCCCGCGTCCCTGCACGTGCGCAGTCACACCCCGCCGGGACGTGGGGCTCGCGGTCCCGACCGCGGCCTGGAGCCGGGCTCTGACAGGGACGTCGCTCCCGTGTGCCTTGGCTGCTCCCTTTCCTCAAGTCCCTAAGGCAGATTTCGATAAACTTCTCAGGGCTCAGGTTCTGCGGCGTCAGAGGCCGGTCCTCTCTTTACCTCGGACAGCCTGGCCCTCGGCCTCCAGCACAAACCCCTGGGGTCACAGAGACGCATGAGCCTCAGCCCTTCCCCGTGCCAGGCCAGCACCCCGGGGCAGTGGTGAGGCACAGGCAGGAGGCCCCAAGACCCACCCAGTGCCCGCGACAGCTGTCATGGTAACAGGAGGGAGGGAACCACGTCCGGCCTCTGAGGGACACTGCGGTGACCCGGAGAAGGCAGCTCCCTGCTGCTCACACTGCCTCTTCCTCTCCTGCTCGCTCCAGGGAAGGCAGCCGTGGCCCTTCCGGTCCCTGCCTTTTTGGGGGCCTGACTCCTCAGGGTGCTGGTGGGGTGCGTGCAGAGGTGAGTCCCGCACCCGCGCGTTCCTCCCCAGAATGCACGAGACTAGCGCATTCCGCCTTCTCCCCGGCAGAATTCCTACCTGGTGCTGGCGGGCCTGGCGGACGGGCTGGTGGCCGTGTTCTCCGTGGTGCGGGGCACCCCCGACGACAGCTGCTCCTACCTGTGCTCGCACACGGCCAACAGGTCCAAGTTCGGCATCGCCGACGACGACGTGCGGCAGAACCCGTACCCGGTGAAGGCCATGGAGGTGGTCAACAGCGGCTCCGAGGTCTGGTGCAGCAACGGGCCGGGCCTGCTGGTCGTGGACTGCGCGGCCCTGGAGATCCGCAGGCGGCTGGAGCCCTTCTGCGCGCCCTCGCTGGTCACGTCCATCGTGTGCAGCTCCGAGTGCAGGGGCGAGGAGGTGGTCTGGTGCCTGGACGACAGGGCCAACTCCCTGGTCATGTACCATTCGGCCACCTACCAGCTGTGCGCCCGCTACTTCTGCGGGGACCCCAACCCCCTCAGGGATGTGTTTCCCGTGGGCCCGGCGGGCCTGGAGCCCCTGGACGGCCACGTGGCCAGCCCGGCCGGGCCGGGCGGGGACTGCATCGCGGACGTCACCATCATCTACAGCGAGGACCTGGGCACGCAGATCCTGACGCACCAGGACTCCGTGACCGACTACTGCTCCTTGTCCTCCGGCGCCTCGTC